AGTGCGGGTGCAGGTGCAAACATGTTATCCCTAAGCCACATTGACAAGCGTGACCTCAAAAGTATAGCAAACCTCTTTCATTTCAGATTAATGTTCTTCAAGTTCACTCAACTCGAAGCACTACTGAGTTATATGTATATTTGTAAATTATGAAATAAATTTCTACTATTATATAAATCAGTAGCGTGTCTAGTTTATTGGCAAATTTACAGCATTGTAATCGGAGACTTGAATCTCCTTTCGCAATTCGGTGGGGTTTTTAGGGAGACCTTGATAAACCTACCTTGTCTGAAGTTATGATACTTTTAATGTCAGACCATAAACTTGGTACATTCCAAGATGTTTCACAGACGTCGAAGTTAGCGTCATCTGCCGACTCAGCTCCAAACCACAACTCGTCAAAGTGACAAGTGAGATTCTCTTCTTCGGCATTGCTGCATTCATCTTTGCCATATTCTTTCATCTCACCCTTCATTATAAACTATTCAAGAGGGTAAGCAGAAGATACAGGAATACGAAGCAGGTAGATGTACCGGGGTGCTGGAAAAGGCAAGACTCAATGAAGATGTCGGCGAAACGTCTGAGAGTGTACCGAGTTCACGATATGACGGTGAAAGTTGCCTCGATTACTAAGGAAGAGGACTCTATACAAGATGCATTCGCCAAGATTGCCCTGATATCACGAACAAGTTACGATAGTGAGGTCAAACAAATTTTACTAAGATGATGTGAGCTGAAAAAGGCTTGCCTTGTCTGATTTGTGTGATTTTGTGGGATTCTTCCTGGATAGCGTCGTGTAGCTTTTGCGGTACTTGTCCGACTCTAGGCCTTAAACTGGAGAACGAGAACTTTAAAAACTGACTCTTGCCACATCATATTTTAAACGATGCCTTGAGTAAAAAAATTGTATTCGTGAAGCAAGTGAATCCAGCTGCTTCTGTGACTGGTTTTTAGCGTCCCACATTCTATTTTCCACGATTAGGTGGATTATGCGTCCTGGATAGAGTAGGTTGCTTTCACTTTCAGGACTTGTCGATTTTCTGAGATGACTCTAAACTTAGCCATTTTTCTCCCTTAGATCGAAGAATAAATCCTCATTGCTCTAAGCCAAGCCCACTTTTAGAGGCCGCGTTTCGATGGGACGTTTTAGAATGTGCCCAGCTGGTATCAGCTACCTAACCGCCCTCAAAGGGCATTCAATCTCTTAGCGATTACCTTTTTGCCCTTCGACTACCCCCTAGAATTGAAGGAGTTCGTGTCTGGTGCGGATAGGTGAGTTAATTACTTTCCTTTCCCTCACTTTT